TAACTTCACCAGAATTAAATATTTTCATTTCAAACTTTTATATATGTTGTTATTAGCACAGGTTCCTATCAGATGCCAGTTTACTTTGACTAAAATTCTAAATTTTAAAAATTTATGTTAATTAGATGGCGTCCATTATGGTAAAGGTGTATTACGGGTGACAATGCTGATTGATGGGTAATTATGGTAATTAAGTTAATTTAAGGAATGCTGAAAGGATTGACATTGTTAATCTACGGAATAAAAAAAGCCACGAGGGAGTTAAGAACAAATTTAAATTTTGAGCATTGCGTGCTATTATTCGCCGTTATAATTCATTGCTATAGATAATAATCAAASATAACTATGCTTAATTTAATTAAATTCGAAAAAGGTGTATTTATATTGCACTTCCAAAAAAATCATCGTTCCACCTTACATGCACTGGTCAGACCTAATGAATTCAAGATGGCGGTCGTACGGGTTAAAATGTTTTTTTCAACTACTCTTAGCGAAAAAGATCATTGCTTATTCATAATATTGACTTTCGATTGAAATCTTTTTCAATATAGCACCGGGAAAAAAAGCGCTAGACGAAATAGTAAAAAAATCAAACAACAAACAAACCAAAAGCAAAACAAACGAAAGACGAACACAAAATTTAAACTTCGTTTAGCATCTTGGTCAGTTGAGGTTTTATAACATTTGTGTTTGTCGTAGAAAATAATAAATGAGAATCTTAAACTGTTCATTCAAAGTGAATTTTGCTAATCCCACCTCRACGGGGAAATTTTAAAATCCTTCCAATAAAAGTCCAAAAGAGAAAAATACTTAAATACAATCTCAACGCGCAAATAAGTGTACCTGAGAAAAAAAAAGTTTTGTACAACTATATTCTTCTAAATTAAAACTTCTAGTTTTATAAAGATRTCGAGATAGTTTCCTAGTAAAACTACGTCGTCAGGAAGCTTTATATCATCTTTTTTAAAAATTTTTAGTGTCTTTCGTTACAATTCAGGGCTAAATGGTTCTTCGCTTTGGTCGAAATGGTTGACGTCCAGTTCTTCTCCAAACTACTGGTGAATTAATGAAGGGTTTCGTGTGCGATTACGGGTGACAATGCTGATTGATGGGTAATTATGGTAATTAAGTTAATTAAAAGGATTTCCATTGTTTATCTACGGAATAAAAAAGCCACGAGGGAGTTAAGAATTGTCCAAATTATAAAAATAGAAGCGTGTTATAATTCGTTGTTATAATTCATTGTTATAGATATTAATCAAACATAACTATGCTTAATTTAACTAAATTCAAAACAGCTGTATTTATTTTGCACTTCCAAAAAAGCATCATTCCACCGTACATGCACGGGTCGAACGATACATAATAGTTTGATAAGAATATCACCATTTGACCAGACCTAATGAATTCAAGATGGCGRMCGTACGGGTAAAAAATGCCTTTTTCAACTACAATGAAAAAGATCATTGCTTATTCATAATATTGAGTTTCGATTTAAATGCTTTTCAATATAGCACCGGGAAAAAAAGCGCTAGACGAAATAGTAAAAAAAAAATCAAACAACAAACAAACAAACAAACAAAAAAGCAAAACAAACGAAAGACGAACACAAAATTTAAACTTTCGTTTAGCATCTTGGTCAGTTGTTTGGCATAAAAAAATAATAAATGAGAAACCTAAACTGTTCATTTAATGTGAATTTTGCCTCATCAACGGAGAAATTTTAAAATCCTTCCAATAAAAGTCCAATAGAGAAAAAAATTCATACAAAATCTCAACGCGCAAATAAGTGTACTTGAGAAAAAAAGTTTTGTACAACATATATTCTTCTAAATTGAAACTCCACTGAGTTTAATAAAGATATCGCKCTAGYTTCCWAGTAAAACTACGTCGTCAGAAATCTTTATATCATCTTGTTAAAATTCTTTTAGTGTCTTTCGTAACAATTCAGKGCTAAATGGTTCTTCGCTTTGGTCGAAATGGTTGACTAGTTCTTCTMAAAACTACCTTGAAAAATTGGACACGTGCTACTTGTGGTCAGTTACTACACACTTGTTTATGTTAACTCTTAAGAATKTAACTTCTGGTACTACAAGCTTAGATCAAGCATAACAATAAAAACTTTTAAAATTTCTACTGGTTTTTATGCCGAGYTCGTGGAAATTGTAACCCTCGCGCCGCTGAGCTTCTTGTAAGGACAATAGACGCGACTAACTTCGATAATTTTGAGTTGAATTTTGAGTCGAGACGGCTTTACGTGTACTAACATCAATGATCAATGATGTCTAGGGTTTTTTTTAAGTAAACAATTAAATGGGCCAGTAGGTATTAGCAAGTCAATTTTTCTTTAGCTATTGAATTATGATAAAAGAAATCGAGACATTTCTTTAAATAACGGGCCTCAAAGAGCTATGTACATTGGAGAATTTGTTGTACATGGGTGACGTCGTGGCACTGCCACACGACAGTCACTGTGATGTTTAAATAATTTAGGTAAACATTGTTAAGGCGATAAAAATCCAATTATTGGAWTGAAATARAAACTTATCGATGAATGAGACAATKCTTAATCYAATTACGTTCCTAATATTGTCTACAATCGTTCAAGGATTTTGACAATAGTTCACAACAAGCTCGAATGTTGGCCCTAAATTTAGCACGGTGGATGATACCGTTTCTTTCTCGTGTTTCTACTTTTATATAAAAAAACTCGCCAAAAAACATACAATTCTATTCATTAATTCTGAAAAGACTGATAAACCATAATAGAACCACCAGAATCTACTTTTTTYTGATATAATAAAAGAACCGTTTCTATGAATGTAATCTTGAATAGTTCCAAAGATTTCAGACGGAATTGAAAAGGTCTAAGTAAAGACGAAACTAGTTTTCCTCAACCTAGTGTTTTCTGTGCGTCAAAGGAGGGAAAAAAGTATTTTAACATACATCTTCTAAAATGAAGTTTAGAAACTCCTTAAAAATCCAAGTACAGACAAATWTCAAGAGATTTTAGACGTTTTCAGAAAACCGCAGTCAAAACACATWSAGTCCCAGTTCAAAAAGAAAAAAAAAACTTAAGTAGTGGCAGTTGCCAGTTTAAAATCATCGCAAGTTCATTAATTACGAGTGTGATGAACAAGCAAGTCTAGGGCACGTGGCATTTGATAAACAAACAAATTCAAGAAGAAACAAATTGCCGTTTTACAAGTACCTGGTGAAAACAGAAGAATAGTCTTAAGGCATGCGTACTCGGCTTCCTCAAGCCCTCTCAGCTTCCAAATACACTCTTGAAAATTCCTCAAGCTTCTTTTCAACTGCATTTTCCTCTCGTTACAAAAGTTAGGGTTAGCGTCAACTTCGAATGCAATTGGAATTCCCTCGATGTGAAGTTTGTAYTGGGATGCGCTGACAGCCAACATCTCACACCAGCGCGATCGAAGRACCATATACTGTTCGCAGACATCAAGGTTGTTGAACATTGGCACGCGTCGCGACCATTCTAGTGTTGACATAAACACGGAGCATATCTGGTGGTAGAAGTTTGGCGGTGGTTGAGGGGTTGGGTTKGTCGGGGAGAAGGTTGGTATAGGAGGACGAATGTTGCGTTCGAGTTGGGTTAGAACAGCGATTAGATCATACTGGGTGGTGAAGGACTTGGAGGATCTGGARATGTAGGAATACTTCGTGGGCCTTCCTCTYCKGATGGCTTAAACAAAGAAAAAGAAGAAAAATATATGAAAATTTGTCAGAAWTTTAGTCCTAATAAATTTTATAAAAACRAGAAGATAGAACATTGCAATTCCAAAGGATTTCATCACGTTTTGTTCYAAAAACTAAAATTTCACTGACAAATTAACTCATCAAAGAGAACGCACAATCTTAAAATCATTTTAAAACTTCATCGGGATAATAGTTGAAAAAATTATGGTCATATTTGGTTATTATGTAGCAAAATAACAGAAAAAAATATTTTAGGTAATTGTGGTAAAACAAACTAGTCATAAACGTCATCGTTCCCTTTTCAACTAGCAAAAAGAGTCCATTATTTTAACGACACAGCCATTTCTTAAAACAGTAGTTGCGAAAAGCGCTAAAAACACCGATATCGGTGCTATAAACTTTTGAAATTTGTTAATGCAGTTCAACAAATCATTAATGAATACTCTATTTTTCACTAGCCATGAGGCACGAGCTTCCAAAATACGCAAAATGATTCTTCTCCTACCTTCTCTTCTCATTCCAACAGTGACACATTTCTGAAAACGGCATGCTTGACAATGGGTTCGGTTTTGGCGATCAACTCTGCAGTTTCCAGAAGCCTCACACGAATAGGTAAGCTTATATCGAACTGTCCTATTGAAAAAGCATTTGCAGCCTTCGCAAGTGAAGACGCCGTAATGGCGCCCAGARGAAGGTGCACTACACACYGCACAATCTATRGTTTTATCTGGATTGTCATACCARTATACCTCATGCATCTGWGACCAAGASGACATAGCGATAACCTTAAAACTAGTTTAACTTTGTGTGGAAACGAAATCGAGTAACCTTAACCTCGACCGATACGARAGTTGTGTTGCCCCTTTTTGGGGTTACGGTTTATATATTGCTCAGGCCCTTGGAATCAATTTATTAAATATTAATTTCCTATGTACGCCATGAATGGGTAGTTATTTAGAAATAGCKTAGTGTCTTTAAACTGTAAAGCACCAGTTATAATTAGCTGTTTAAAGCTAAGTTTCCAAATTCTTGGGTTGGTCTTTTCTTCTACCCAGTAACCAAAGAAAGGGCGGATGATTTCAGTTGATTTCGATGTTTTGTCACCTTTTGACATGACATGTCAAGTCGAGGGAACGACACACTAAACCGATCAGTTCACAAATTCTTAAACTTTATATCCCCCCCCCCCCCCCAAAAAAAAAGAGGAAATGGTTATGACAAGAAAAGCACTTTTCCGCGTTTCAATGCCACCATGAAGTGGAAATTAAACGTGGTGAATTATTAAAACCTTATCCCTGTTCTTGGAAACTTTAGGTAAATATCATAAGCTTCCAAAGCAAACAATCTGAGCGTCATAGCTAAAATAATGGTCTTCTCATCGCGGAATAAAAGTAACTTGTAATAATTGTCGAAACAGCTGTGCATAGACGAGGAAATAGTTTTATCATATAATTATAATTAAGACGAAAAAAGGTTTGGTTGAGTTAAATATCGGCTATTTTGTTAGTATATTATCACGAGTGCATATTACGTATAAAGCACAAAGCCCAACTGACTCTACTTGTATAGTACAGTTTAATCTCCCTAAACCGAAGGAAATGATGAAAAGGAGAAAAAGATTTGAACTTGTCTGGACAATTTTTCAACTTACATATTGTTATTTTTTCTCCACACTTTTGTCGCATATAGCATAAAGTTATTTATAATTCTTTGTAAACCAACAGAAATACCTGCACTCTACCTCAAAGTGTGATGATGATGTCCCAGCAACGTTCACACCTACAATAAATAACCTATTCCTTTGCCAAAGCCGCATTAGATAGACCTAATAGAACCATTTTCTWATCATCTTGTCAGCCCAATAAGCATCTATGTGTTTCATTGTACTTGCTCATTTAGGGAAAAGCACAGATCTTTGTGGTTGATGGTGTAAATTCCTRTCTTGTAGACGAAAATTTAAAATATTCCCCAACCAATACATACCGCTTATAGAAATACGTACCTACGTACGTGCCTTCAAATAAAAGTCTTCGTTTGTATGACAATTGATTCAATTAGCTTTCATTCAACGGTTTTGACTAATTCTTGTTTACTTTACATTTACAGTTTTTCATTGAGCCATCGTAATTGTTTACTAATTTKTGTTATCTGAATTGCTAAACAAATTAACGTTTTTTAAACAAGAACTTCAAAAARAATTGTGTGAAATCAAATCCATGAAGAAATAAAMMGTTGGAGTTTGGTTGCAAAGTCGACTTTCTGCCATTTTCTATCGAGTTCATTTTCATCACTCACGCCATGYAAGATCAAAGGAAAGCTAYGAATAACGTTTTAGTTTGATAAACTACACTATCATTAAGTAAATATTGCCTTTATAATATGGCTTTCTTTGCTGCTTATTAAACAAATTAACTTTCTTAGTTCGTTTTCAATCCAAGCTCCACCGAAGCAAGTATTAGCGCTGAGAGAAAGTTGTCGACCATGTTTGCTTTTCTATACAAGCTCGAAAAAGACTTTCTTTCTTGCTTTTGTCTTAAATAGGAACTTATAGATATAATAAAACTTAGTGTCATGCACTATTTCACGAAAAAAATTGTATTAAATGGATTACTGTATGAATTGAGACGTTTTTATCAAATTTGAACAGGTTTTAGGAGAAGTGAGAGTCTTTGTAGGATACTGGAATGAGTTCCACTGCGCTAAACACTTAAACACTGTTACTAATTACAGCTAATGATTGTAGTGCTAAATGAGTTTTCCTCGGGAAATTCAACATTGGTGACAATAATGATAAAAGTTGCATCTTTTATTGAAGAAATAAATCTCTATTTCAAAAATCATAGCAACACTTTTTCCGCGAGTATGTTTTACCCGAACAGTACTGATTTTCACAACTTAACGTTTTCAATTAGCAAAATATCTTCACGATATAGATTTATAATTTACACGCCAGTGTGCCAGTTTTTTGTCTTTTAATTCACTACAGTGTGAAATTATTCTATTGTCCATAAATGATCATTCYTTTTTCATGAAGTTGGTTTTTCGTAAGGTAAAGGTGGTGGAATGCTGGCTAAATTATTCATTCATGCCCCTATGTCAGCTGGTTGTCACTATAGAAATTTCCTGAGCCATTATCAAGCCAACGTTATGACTCGGTTGGGAGGATCTACCTGGTATGAGTTGAAATTCGATTAAAAAATCTTGAAAATATATAAACACCATGATTGTTAAATAGAGGATATGACATGGGCGCGCGGCGATACGGATTTTATCTTCGAGTGTTGAAAAGATCTCTCACGAGTGAGCGTAGCGAAGATAAAATTCGTATGTCCATGCTTCAAGCGACCACGTAATATTCTGTTTATCATATAATCATTAATGAAATCAAATTATGTTTTAAAATAACTTTTATTTACCTCCAATATATAGAGATTCAAAGAATGTGTTATTTTCACTAGTGAAAATAACAACTTTAGGTAGTTGAGAAGTATAGGTATTTTATAGATAATTATATGATAAAACTATTTCCTCGTCTATGCACAGCTGTTTCGACAATTATTACAAGTTACTTTTATTCCGCGATGAGAAGACAATTATTTTAGCTAAGACACTCAGATTGTTTGTTTTGGAAGCTTATGATATTTACCTAAAGTTTTCTAGAACAGGATAAGGTTTTAATTATTCAACACGTTTAATTTCCACTTCATGGTGGCATTGAAACGCGGAAAACTGCTTTTCTTGTCAGAACCATTTTGCATCAATTAGAAATTAACTGCACTGTCATAATCTGTTATTATTGTATATTACTTTTGCGCATAAAACTTCTTCTTAATTCAGTTTTATAAATAATCACCAAGGACATGTCTTCTAGTTTATTCTTCGAATAGTACCACCAC